TATAGGATTTCTTCCCAAGATGAGGCAATATATAGACAGTAAACTGAACAGTAGGACATAACTTTAGATAACTTTAGACTGCTGGTTATTTACCATTTTTTGTAGCTAAGAAGCTTCTTTTCCAACCAAACTTTACAGGGCATCAAAAGGTCGATTACCAAGGCTAGCCCAGTTACTTTCTTTTAATTTCTTTTTTCGCACACTGAAGTGCGCATTTGACAAGCCCGGTAAACAACAATTAAAATGACAACGGAGTAGATGGCAAGGCGAAAGGATTTTTGCACATTTCGCTTTCTACTCATTGCCCTAGCCAACCAGCCAGCCAACCCACTTTTCCATCACCCATCACCCATCGCCATTTCCCAGTGGAAGGAAAAATCCACGAGTGAAAAGAAAAGAAGATAGGGGGGTAAAAAAAATGAAATGTAACTGATGAAAACTGACATAAGGCGACTGGCTGGGAATGCTGTGCGAAATTATAGCCACAGGACATTCACACACAAAGCAGCGGAATCACAGCCAAACAAAGCCCTATCCTGTCCCTTATCCTGCGCCCCCCTCGAAAAACCAAAAAAAAAAAGGATGGGCAAATAACTTGAGGACATGCCAATGCAATTTCGAATCAATGTCCAGGAGAGCCAACCCAAAAATATAAAAAAGAAAACACAGAGACAAGCTTGGAAAATGACAATGAAAAAATCTGGCTAAAAGCAAACTAAAACAGACTGATGGGAAAATGCATTCAGTGAAAAGGTGCTATGAGGCCAAATGGATGAAATATATTCTGGGAAAAAGCTGAGGATGGGGTTAAGAGGAGATATAGCAAAAATAAATTTGGGTTTTTAGAAAATGGAAATGTTCTTCAAGACCTTAGATTAGGACTTGTGATATTAATTAATGAAATTCAGATTTGTTAGCTAAGATTTTCTTGGATTGCTGACTGAGACTTGCAGGGATAACCATAAGTTAGTTAAACTTCTTAGATTGCTTTCTTCTATATATTTTTGATAAACTTAATGACCAATGACCTTGCCTTTTCACCAACTGACTGACTGACATAAATATCACTCGATGACGGCTACTAAAAATCATTCCATTCGATTTTGTTTAGTTGGACAAATTGTTTGGCTAATTTGCGCGGTATTTTCCTAAGCCCCCCGAACATTTATCACACCACCACTTTTCTCTCGGACCCGTCCATCAGAGGAACTATTTCTGGTGCGGCGGCAGCTAACGCGGCGTATGAGTAATGTCTTGATTTGCCAAACGTTTTAACGGATTTAAATTTATTTATTGCCAGCCATCTCAACAGCAACGCCAACGTTAATTTTAGCCACATCTCGCATTGTTTTTGTTCAAATTTAAATTCACCTCTAGGTCTCTCTGTCTCTGTCTCTGTCTCTGTCTCCGTCTCGTTCTCACTCTATTTTCTGCTTTATGACTCCCAATGTGCTTGCATATATGCATATATATATATATATATTGTGATCTTCTATATGTTTAATACGATTTGAGGTGTCGACGGAGGTGTGATAAAGTGCATACGCCTTATGATTAAGGGGTTAAGTGTGTGTGTGCGTGTGTGTGGGGGGGTCAAAGTTGGCCGGCGCATCTCGTAGCTCATTAAAAATATATGTATGGTGCGCCAGGCTCTCGGGCTCCCTTGCCTCCTTTGTTATCCGACACCTATAAATCTGGAAAGGCAAAATTTATGCTTTGAGTTTTGGGAGTTTGGCAATTTATGGTAAAAGAATGTTGAGAATGGATGGTTTCCGGCGTACATAGGAATAATGGGATTGCATCTGTGCATTAATCACGATTTTCTGTAGATTCTTGCGTAACTTTCGCTCGCTCTCCGAAAATTAATTTAGAGCTCTTCTATATTTTGCGTTAAATCGAAAGATTGCTTTATTTATTATTTGTTGATCCATTTAATGATCCATAATTTTGGTTATCGATTGAATCGATTGGGCAGGGCTTGCAATGGGAAATCTCCAACTTCCGCTCTTAAATGCTCATCTTTATAATGCTTGATTCGAAACATATGCATTTTGATTTGTTTATTGGATGTTTTTTAGCCGGAAATCTATAATGTTGTGTGGGGGTGGTGCTTAGAAATCGTAGATAGTTCTGGGTTTTTATGATATATATCTCTATTTTCCGCCTAATATTTCCCACTCCCTATGCTCTCATTTTATTGCTAAAAATCCCTCCATGTGTTGTAGGAAAATCCTAATTTGCCGAGTCCTTTGCATGCAAATTGCCTGCTGTTACCGCCTGCTCATTAAAACCGCAGCTAAATCGTTTCGCAGTTAGTTAAGAGATATAATCTCCTGCCCTTCCATTCGATTCGATTCGATTTCCCTACCCATTTTCCATTTTCCATTTTCCATTTACATTTCATTCGATTCGATTCGATTCGAATGCAATCTGTTCGCATATGTTCGTTTTTCCGAATTTTCTGTGGTTTTTTTCTCTTTCTGCTTTTCACACCGCTCATCGGAAATATTTTCCGGCCTGGACATTTTCCGTTTCCCTTTTGCATTGTTGTTGTTGTTGTTGTTGTTGTTGGTCTGTAATTGCCGCCTGTTGGTTGTTGTTTTTGTAGCCGTTGTTTGAGGTCACATTGAATGTCAAAAGCGGCGATGGCAACGTTAATTTCGTTTGTCCATAAACATGCTACATATGTGCACCGGGTCCTTTGAGTTGAGTTGCAAGGACCAAGAGGGAGGTGGCAGGAAGGGTGGGGTGAGAGGTTTGCATTTTGCAACCCTAATAAACTGAAAGGCGGATGCAGAGGCGTGGTAGAGGCATGGCGCAGGGGAAGTAGAGAGAGTCTGGCACACGTGCCATCCTCTGATAAGACCGTCTGCCTTCCATTTTCATTCATTTTTCCATGCCCCAGCCCAGTCCAGCCCCGTATATGGTGTGACTGTGATTTATGCACTAAACAATAGTAAAGGTCTCCCCGGCTGCATGTGTCCATCTCCCCAACTGTTTTCCCACTTTCCCCCATTTTCAGTTTCAGTTCATCATCACAAAAAAATGCAATGTTATGGCACGTGATGACCACGAAGGACACTTTCATCAAGTGCCTGGAACAGTGCCACACATTGACGAGGGGGGAATAGCAAGTATATTGCGGGGAAGTAGCATGTGGATGCTACTTAGGCTAAGGGTAGCCAATTGAAAAAATGGGTTACAGTTTGAGTACAATAATGATTTAAAGGGGGCTGTGGGATCATAAATATGACAGAAAGTTATTGAATTTGGAAAATTAGAAGATTTCTTTTTATCATTTTGTAGGATATTCAAGATTGATAAGCATAGGTATATGTCTATCGATTTCATGGAATTCAATAATATTTTTATTAAAAAAATAGTCCCAATATTTCGATTCCCTTTCAAAGGGGAAACAATAAAGAACGTCTCTCCCTCTCCTCTGATTTCTGCTCTATATATATTTTTCTGCCGCATCGAGAACCCTCATAAATTTGTCAGTTCTAATGTTAAATATAAAAATACCAAAATCAAAATCAAAATCAAAATCAAAAGGAAACCTTCCCTTCGATTGCCGAATTGCATGTTCTGCTCGTCGCTCTCTTGTTGAAAATGCTTATCAAATTAATTTCGCTTAAATTCGCGCTTATTGTTCGGGCTCAGCGGGTTTTTAGAGGGTTAATTGCGAGGGTTTATCCCCGGGACTCAGGATTCAGGACTCTAGATTGCAGGACAGCCTTTACTCTATTGTTGTTGTTGTTTGTTTGTTGTTTGCTTGTTTAGCCTGGCCAAAGGTAACGTCTCGATTACGCCTCGATGCGCGAGGGTTGGCCCAAGAGTTGCTACTTGATTGGGTCTCACTTACCTAGGGATATACATATATACATATATTAAAACCTCCCCCAATACATACAACACTCTACACGTGTCCATCGAGTTGTTCAATTATGGCTAAGCCAAATCCGTAGCACAAACAATTTTGCCTTCAGGTTTTCCTTCCAGATTTCCGAATACCTTTTTCCAGAACTCTTATCCTTGGCTAGCAAAAGAGCAGCAACCCCCCAGGATGGGAAAGTTAAGATGAAAACTAAACACACGCGACTGGCTTGAAAATTGAATTCTAATGGAGTTGTCGCCTCCCCCGTTTGATATTTATATATTTAGTATATATATAGGATGGTAATATATATCACAAGATTAGCATTTCCAACCCTGGACGGGCTGCTCTCCACCGATTTTTGTATTTTCCGTATTTTAACTTTCTGCTTCGATATGTGTTTGTCCAAAAGATTGGCCAAGAGCTGGATTCCTTGGGGGCTCAAGTCGCCCCGAAGGTAATAATTCGCATCGAAATTTCCCTCTTTCGGTTTTTGGTTAGGCAATGTTTGTTTTACGGGGGAATGGGTTGACGTTGACTTTCTTTCCTCTAGGTAGAATGTGTCCGGGGAAAATCGTTTTGGTTCGGAATATCCCCGGCATAGTCAGACGTTTAGGTAAAATAGCCAATGTGTGTGGTGCAGGTAAAAGAGGTCTCCGGGGTCATTTCTTAAGGGGCAGATCAATAATATTGGCCAATAAAATAAAGCCAAATTTTATAGTTTTTCCCCGGGCTGGGCTGCTAATATAAATATTCGCGTTTTGATAGCTAAAACTAAATCGGAATAAAATGCTTTATCATTTACTTGCAGCTGCCGTAAAATAATGTTTATTTAGCTGGCTCTCCTTTCAGTAATAAATAAACAAATTTGATGGGAAATAGGAATAGGTTTTTCTATTTATAGAATATTCCGAGAGCTAAATTATTTATTTCAAGCTACCAAGGCGCCCTTGAAAGGTCTTGTTTATGGTTAAGAAATATATTTAAAAATTAAAATGAGTAAATAAGGGACTGTAACTTTGAGTTTCTCCAATTCCCAATGATTTGCTGCCTCCAATACCCTTAGCCCTTGCCCTTAGATCGATATAATCTATATATTAATTACGATATCATAACAACTCACCCTTGCACTCGTTGGTTTCCCTGGCGGTGGCCCTTGCCCATGGGCGGTCGAAGTGGAAGGGTTTGCATCGTTCACAATCCCTTCCAGCGGTATTGTGGCTGCACTCGCAGTTCAGTTGTCCACTGGCATCCGTGGAGCACTTGGAGGCATGGCCATTGCACTTGCAACGTCCGCCGACTGAAAAGTCCGAAATGGCATAATGTAGTCCACCGGAGACAGAAACCTCTCCACCAAGATTCGCCTCAATATTGTTGTTATTAGGTCCATTTGCCAGGGGTACACTGTACTTGCCACTGGCCAAATCCGTTGATGCTCCGGCATCCAGTGAAAGCAAAGCTTGAGGATCGGGACGTTGCAACCGATGGAATACCACTCTTATGTCCGTGGCCGTTACCCAATCCTGCAGAACCGGCGAAGAGTCAAGATCGCGGGCCGAGGGTCGTCCTTCCAGTGTACTAAACGCAATCCTGGAGGCCAGGGTACGGCTGACATCACTGCAACGTGCCTCGTGCTCATTGTGGCGATTGGTTGATTGACGGGCCGGACGACCAAATAGCCGACGGCACTGGGAGCTATAGAACTGGAAGGGTTGCCAGCTAAGACCATGATCGGAGCTCTTGTAGATCACCATGGAGTCGGGTCGTGGGGCGTGGGGACATAGCTGTAGACTCACGTAGGTCAGCTCGAATTTCTTGCCCAGCGAAAGGGTCAAGGTTACATTATCGCCACTTCCGGTCACCGGTTCACTGCGCCAACAGGTCACATTATTTGAGTTATTCAAATCGGTTAGCGAGCGGGCGGGAAAACTGCGCAATGGATCATTCAAATCGCAGGTGTGACAGGATCGCTCGTGCTCCTGGTACTCACAATACCGCTGGGCCCCCGTCGATCCGCACGTGGAACTGGCCAGTACCGGTGCATCGTAGGCGGCATTCACAAAGTCTGGAATGCAGACGCGCGGCTCGTGCGCCTTGTCGTAGCAGGGATCATCTGGTGGCGCCTGTTGCTGCGATAGCATCTTGAAGTAGGCATCATTGGGGATTCCTTGGGTTCCTGGTATCATCCTGTTGACGCCCAGCAGGACCAGGAGCAGCAGTGTAGAAATTGCCGCCAAAGCAGGCATATTTGATGTTTTAGTTTTTTGTTTTGATCACTATTGTGAGTTTTTAGAAGTAGAAGATTTCCAATCACACAAGTTCACTGTTTGAAAATTTCGTTAAAAAATCTCTCCAATTTTGTTTGCACTTCAAAAAAAAGTTTTTTATAACTTAAGAAATGATTTATAACTTATGAAAAGCACAAGAAAATTCCAAATTTAACATTATTCAAAACTGTTTAATACTTTTCCAAAATAGTTTTCAAAAGTCACTCAAGTCACACACTTAAAAAATTTTGAAAATCTCCAATAATTTCAATATTAAGTCACACGAAAAAAAATGTTATTCGAAAATCGCCGGTTTAACAACCGTTTGCGCAGGCGTTTCAACCGTTTGAAAGCACGCGCGCGTCGCGTCTCAAATCTCCAGACTCTCAAAACTGTAGAGCCTCAAATCTCGGAATCTCAAATCGCTTTCGTTCGGCGGCGTTCGGTTCGTTACGTCAAGTCGGGCTGCTTGTCCACAGGCGACTGTGTGTTCGTTTTCGTTCGTCGCTCGTTTTTTCGCTTTTCCGCGAGGTGTCTGCACGTGCGTGTGTGAGCGTTTGTGTGGGTTGTTGTGAGTCTGTCTGTATTGGTGACCGCTTGAGATCGCCACCCGCAACATGTTGTTGTGTTGCACAGCTACAAATGTCGCCAGATGCTGCGGGCAACATAGCATCTCTCGCTTACTCTCCGAAAAGAGAGAGTTTGATTTTTTGCTCTCATCGAGTGAGAGAGTTGCGCAGTTTGGTAGCAACATTTGTTGCTTTGCTGGCAACATTTGTTGCTTTGCTGGCAACATTTGTTGCTAAGCTGCGGCTGCACTGCTTTTTGGTTTTATTAGAGTTTTTATGATTTTATTTGTTAAATGTTATTAATATTTTTATGTTTTGCTTTTTAGTTTTAGTAAATAACTAGGGGGCTTGAGTGTTTTATTTATAAAATTTATTTTAATGATAAAAACAAGCTTAAAAACTTCATAGAAAAGCGTTTTTTAAATTAAAAAATGTATTTTAATATTCCTACAAATTAATGGTAATTAATCAATAGTTTCCAAGCTTAAACTGCGACTAAGAAGCTCAAAGACTGGTGATCCCCAAGACCAGAGCTGAAGGTATTCCCATCTTGAACCCCTTCTTCCGCTCTCAAGAGTTTCTTAACCCTTTGCTTACCTTTCGATGGCTATCGATAATAAAGACGCCTCGGATCTGCGACTCTCGTTCTCGCGTTGGCTAAGTTATTAACTTGTCGTTAATGAAAATCATCAATTTTTCAAAGAGGGGCGCGTAATTACGCCGTTCGGCTGGTCATGCCGATGACGATGGCGATGGCGATGGCTTCATTATAGCTTTTCCCTTTGCTTCCCTTGATCACCTTTATGTATATATTATTTAACCCATGCCCACTCCAATATTTTCTGGATTTTGCCTGCACCTTTCTGATAAGCGTTTCACTTTCAGTTGCCGTTGCCGTTGCCGTTGCCTTTGGCTCCATAATCTCAGCATCCACGCGCTTTTGTTTGTTTTTATTTGGAGGCGCGTATAATTAGCTTCGTTCGTTGGGGCATGTGTGGTCGGGTAGGCGTATGGGCGTGGCAGCGGTCGAAACCGTATCGGAATATAAACTCTTATGAACCTTAATTATTTGATTTCTCACGAGGGCGCTGTGGAGTAGTTTTAGCTTAAAATGAAATGCTCACACCTAATCGTCGGGATGATGGTAATCAATGGTTTTAGTGTTAAAGTTAGGTCTTTGATCTAATTTGGCTTTTGAATATCTAATAACCTTTTCCAAACGAAAAACTTTAGATTAAACAAAGTTTATAATGAATATTTTCTACGATTTAAGCCAAATCCTTGGCATTTGTTCAATGAAATCGAAGCTGTGATTAGAAGAGTGCTTACTTTTGAGCTTTTGGCTATACAAATGCAACACCTAACTAAGCCCACACTCAGGCACACACACACGTGCAGAGTAAGAAAGACAGCTGGCCGGCTCATTTCCGCTTCCTTTGTTGATGCGGATCTACTTCTACTTCTACATCCACATCCGCATCTAACCAAAAACAGCTTCTGGTCGGAGGCTTATCGACTCCTTGTACAGATTCCGGAGGAGGGCTAGGGAAGATAGAGGGGACCCAAGCTGGATCAGAACTTTTGCTTTATTACCTTGGCAGTAGGCGTGGCAGCAACAACCACAAAGCCCACGACCACAACATGACGATGATGTGTATGTGGATACAGTGAGAGAATTTTGGGTTGAAATTAGATGAGAGATTAGAAATGAATTTTCTCAGAATATTTATATTCCATACTCTGGGTCAATGCTCACGCCAATCACTGGGAAAACAGACACAGACTCGTAATCCTCAGTTCTCAAACGAATTTTAAATTAGTAAGTAGTCTCTTTTAACTGAGATTTAATATCTTTCGTCAATTCATTTTTTAACAGCTTCCAATTTAGTTTGATCCATCAAATCCTCCTCCTTTACGAATAAATCTAAATGAATATTTAACTCGTTTATTTTATTTAAAATTCACCTCTAAAAAGTATTTTTTCAATATTTACTACTCTTATTTTTTTTTTGGTGTACCTTTGTGTTTTTGGGCCGCTCTGTTTGTTTGTATGGGTGGGCGGCCAGACAGTGCTAAACTTTGGCTTAATATTGGCAAGTGCGTAATGAAAATTGCATTGTCGTTTTCATTGAGTTTTCAGAGAGAGGAGTGTGGTGGGCGTGTGGCTAGCTAAAAGGGGGCCTGTTTTTGTGGAGCGCCAATGGAAGAGGGGGGGGGGACTGAACTGGAGCCTGTGGTTCAGGACCGCCGGTCCGGCCTTTTGTCATTTGTGCTCTTGTGAATGGGCAACGCAAAGTCCAAACGGCTTTTCGTTTGGGTTCGTTTGTTTGTTTGTTTGTTTGGCAGGACGGCCGGTCGGTCGGCCGGCGGCAAGATTTTTAGATTATGACGGCTCTACAATCCTCACCAGCTGGGCAATATCCAGATCAGTACTTTCCCAGGTTATGCACTAGGCGAAAATGGGTTGGTTATTAAATAGAAATTTTTTAAATTTTTAATGGTAAAAATAAGCTATCCTTTGATTGGGTTAAGCCATAAGTTAAGTTAGAAATTAAATATTATTTTAGGATTATTATTTATTAAGATTAAGAGTATTTTAAAATAATATTATCAATTGTTGTCAGAAATATCTCCGAAAACTCTTAAGACACTGCCTAAAAGCATGCTACAATATAATTTAACTTCGAAGTTTGAGGGATTTGGGCTTTTCCTATGTTAACTGCTTACTTTTTATCATCTTTCAAAGTAATTTTGAAACTGTAGAGACCTCTTTCTTATTTTCTATTATTTCATTTTACATTTCATCTTAAAATTAACATACAAAAACCTCCCTCTTTTTTCTCCCAGTGCCCATTGTTTGCTGTACTCGTATTTATTTGTGTTGGGACACTCTTTCACTTTATTGGGTGACATCGATGAATGCGAACTCCTTTGCCGATTCCACTCACTCATCCGAGGTTTTTGTAGATTCACACGCCGGCCGGCCAGCCTGCAACCCATTTTTCGCAATACAAAATTTACTGCCAAACACCCCACCACCCCTTCTACCCCTCCATTTTTTGGGGCTTTGTGGTCACTTTTTTGGCCAGTGTTTATCTTTGGATTGTTGTTTGTCTTTTACAAAGTGTTTGGCTCTGTAGTTGCTCTTTGATTTTATTGCTAGACCTGCAAACATGCAAAAAATACGACCCACAATACAATACAAATACAAAAGACAAAAAAAGATAAGTACAAATTTCGAATCAGGTATAAAGCCTGTCCCTGCGCCTGCCTCTGCTTCAGCCCCCAAAAAATTGTGGGAGGAGGGGCCAGGGTGCTGGGACTAAAACGCACAGATAGCTGACTAGATTCCTATCAGCGTCAATAAATAAAGTTTTTAAATGGGACAAGAAAATAAATATGTGTCTCCTTGTTGTCACAGACAACCCAGGGGCAAGAACAGTGGGGCTTAGGGATGCAGGACGGGATGACAGTGGGGCAAAGTGGAGTTATTTGAAGGGAAAATATAATATAGATATTAAAATTAGTTTATATCATGTTGAGCAAAGCAGTTTTTATGTATCTTAAAGATGAAAATAATGTTTCCTAAACTCAAACCCGTTTTAACAAAAGTTTTAACTTTCTTTCACGTTTTTAAGCACTAATAATTCCTATAAAATATATAACAAAAATATGATTAGTTATAGTAAGGAATATGCTATATCTTATAGACAATTTTGAATCATTTTCCTTACCATCTGCTTTACTTTCGTTGCCACCTCTCCCCTACCAATCGATCTTCGATCACTTTTCCATGGGCCATCCCACTGTTAGCCGCTTGGCTGGCAAAAGGAGTACTTACATTGCCCCGCATCCTGGGCCTCCATCAGCTGCTGTCTTTCCGTTTGGCTCATATTGAAAAAGTTTGTTTTTTTCCAAATATCTATAGAGCTGGGTATTTTGGCCTCCTTTCCCCGCCACCGCCGGGCTTTTCTGGAAAATCTCCTCGTTTCCCAAACTCTTGGGTCTGGCACTTCTTTTTATTTTTTTCCTACCGTTCTTCCTCGTCTTTCCCAGTGTGTCTGGGTTGTCTGTTGGCTGTCTGCTTGTTTGCGCGCTTTGTCTTTTGTCTAGTGCAATATGCGTCGTGTCTTGGCACTGCCCCTCCAGCCTCTCACCCGCTTTTTCCACCCACTTTTCCGCCCAACTCCTACGACGGCCGAAAAACATGCGGTTGGAAAATTCAACCGACCGATAATTGTGGGTAATTTAACCTAAAAAGGCGGCCAAAAGTTGCTCGAAATCATTACTTCTATGATAGCAGTCAATAAAATACACTGGTCAACAAAGCTTGTTAATGAACTAAATCTTAATTTATAATTTGTAATTTTATTTAATTGTTTTAACAGCTAAATGAAGTTTTTCAATAACCATACCCATAACTAAGTAATAACATTAACTTAACTAAATCAAAGGCAACTTTTTTTTATGGTAAATTCATTAAAAGGGAAAACCTACATAAAAGGGCATATTTTTCCCACCCACTCTCCTTGATAGTCCCCCCTCGCGCACCACTTCAATGTGGCATCTGTAGTTGCTGTTTTCGATCTCTGAGTGCCCCACCAACCTACCTACATGCACCTACTTACATTGATTTTATAATTAGCTTTGCCAGAAGTGGGCGCCAGGAAGTGGTGGTGGGTGGTCATGATGGTCTGCAGGTTAGGAAGGGTCCAGGGGCCGGGGTAGTAGGGGTATAAGTTGGTGGAGGAAAGGAAGCATCGGAAGCTGGCAAAGAATTGAATGTCGAAGTCAACTCGTGGCCATTAAAACCAGCCAATTACCTTCAAGACTCATTAAGTGCTACAAGCGATGGGTGGATGGTTGGTTACCAGGATGCCAGGATGGACTACCAAAAGGGCTAAAACCGTCGAGTCCCGGGCTGTTAGCTGACCGTTACAATCGAA